AAAGTATACTTACACTCGCCAGTTACTGTTCTAAATTCTCGGATAGGAATTTTGGCAACACAAATATATTCCACGACGTGGCTGTGCGGGTACATATGAAGCAGTGGCATCCTTAAAGCAGAACAGAAGCGCCTACTTTCCGTGACACGTCCTTTTAGTAAGGCTATACTAGCAAACCCAAAGCATTTGAGTCGTAGTCTCGTGGTGCAGGTTCCATTTTAAAAGCAAACGGAAACCAGATGCACTCCCTGTCATCCTATACATATGTGCGAGGGACACAGTATGCATTTGACTGGAAGTGGCCTTATGGCTGACAAACTGATACTAATGGAAAGAGATTCCGTCTGCAAAAGTGAACGCAACTTGAATTCCTCAGCATGGGTTCTAGTCAGTGTGAGTCATTGTGGGCTCTCACACTAACGCTTGCATTATAATGAGAATCGACGGAGGAAGGTAACACTTCCTGGAAGGTTTGCATTTTTCGCCCCTTCTACCCGGATGCGCTTTCACACGCAGTTGCGTAACGACATGCAATCAACAATCAAGGAATTGTAGCGGTCTGAGTCGTGGTTGTGTCTAGATCACTACAATTATCAGTTCGAATCCCAGGTTGGCAGCAAGAGGCAGAGGTCAACAGAAGGAGTGATTTATTGTGTACAGAACTCCCTATTGCTGTTCCAGCCGGCAGTGACCACTGGCGAAGCCGGGGCTAGTGTTGACTGCGTCAAGTCATACCTGAGAGAGAATGAAACAGTGGTGGCAACTGCTTAAGTAGGATTGTGAAGCAAGTTAAAGTGGTTTGCTATGTGGAGGTCTTTGCTGCATCGACCGAGAGGTGGCTTATTCAAGTGGCCCTTAGGCAGGCATGCTTATTTCGACGCACGTGTGTGCGCGGGCGTGTGTGTACGTGACTTAATAAGCTGAGGTCAACTGTGGGGGCCACCGGAACGCCGAAGGTCAGGGGACGCTGGCGCAGCTGTTATCGGTTAGTCATAAGCAGCTGTGAGGCCAAACCACGGAGAACGGGGGCGCCAGTGAAAGAAAGCATTGGAACAGGTGTTTGTGACGACGCATGACTTTGGGGGAGCGAGTCTTGGAGAACAAAAGGGGGAACAGCTATCGTAACCGTTAGCCACAGAGTATTGCTGACAAGGGCTAGCCTGACAGAAAGGACAATTGCGCACTGCGGAAGACAAAAAAATCAGAACTTGTAAATCAGACCCTGAAAAGGAGCTCTCGACTAAAGCGTAGAACCTGCCGCCGGGTCAGATTACTGACACCACCTCCCCGCGTAAAACCTTGCCAACAGACCAACTTGACTGATAACTGTATCATGTTCTAAGGAAAAGA